ATTTTTCCCCACCGGATAAAACTGAAAATTCAATTGGACATGATCAGTTTCACAAGGTGGATGGAGCTCCCACAGGGCCCTTGTTCTGGGTTTAGGACAGTTTATCTTCACAGCAGAGAGGGAGCTGTCAGATGAAGGAATGCCTTTAGCCCTGGGGTCTTGGTTAGGAGAGTGAGAGGAGGCCGTCACTCTCAATGACATGGACTTTGCACGTAGATAAAGAATGTGTGTGGTCGGCAAGGCTGTCCACTCTCTCCACACCTCTTCAATATAGTGCTTGAAGTTTTAGCAATAGCAATAAGACAACATAAGGGGATCAAGGGGATTCGAATTGGGAAGGAAGAGGTTAAACTTTCATTATTTGCGGATGATATGATAGTGTACATAAGCGACCCCAAAAACTCCACCAAAGAACTCCTAAAGCAGAGAAACAGCTTTAGTAATGTGGCAGGATACAAGATCAACTCCAAAAAAATCAGTCGCCCTCCTATACACAAAGGATATGGAAGCAGAGAGGGAAATCAGAGAAGCATCACCTTTCACGATAGCCACAAATAGCATAAAATATCTTGGGGTAACTCTAACCAAGGAAGTGAAAGATCTATTTGACAAGAACTTTAAGGAATTGAAGAAAGAAATTGAAGAGGATACCAGAAAGTGGAAAGATCTCCCTTGCTCTTGGATTGGGAGGATCAACATAGTAAAAATGGCAATTCTACCAAAGGCAATTTATAGATTCAATGCAATCCCCATCAAGGTCCCATCAAAATTCTTCACAGATCTTGAGAGGACAATAATCAACTTTATATGGAAAAACAAAAAAACCCAGGATAGCCAAAACAGTCTTATATAATAAAGGAACTTCTGGAGGCATTACCATCCCTGACTTCAAACTACAAATTACAGAGCTACAGTATTGAAAACAGTTTGGTATTGGTATAAAAACAGAGAAGTCGACCAATGGAATCGTATAGAAGACCCAGATTCTAACCCACAAACCTATGAACACCTCATTTTCGATAAAGGAGCTAAAAGTATATAATGGAAGAAAGAAAGCATCTTCAACAAATGGTGCTGGCACAACTGGATGTCAACCTGTAGAAGAATGAAAATTGACCCATATCTATCACCATGCACAAAACTCAAGTCCAAATGGATCAAAGACCTCAATATCAGCCCGAGCACACTGAACCTGATAGAAGAGAAATTGGGAGGTACCCTACAACAGATGGGCACAGGCGATCGCTTCCTATGTATAACCCCAGCAGCACAGACATTAAGGGCAACATTGAATAAATGGGACCTACTAAAACTGAGAAGCTTCTGTAAAGCAAAGGACACTGTCACTAAGACAAAAAGGCAACCCACTGACTGGGAGAAGATCTTCACCAACCCCGCAACAGACAAAGGTCTGATCTCCAAAATATATAAAAAAAACTCAGGAAATTGGACTTTAAAATGCTAATTAACCCAATTCAAAAATGGGGCACTGATCTGAACAGAGAATTCTCAACAGAAGAAGTTCAAATGGCCAAAAGACACTTAAGGTCATGCTCAACCTCCTTAGCGATCAGGGAAATGCAAATCATAACAACTTTGAGATATCATCTTACACCTGTCAGATTGGCTAAAATCAAAAACACCAATGATAGCCTCTGCTGGAGAGGTTGTGGAGGAAGGGGTTCCCTCATCCATTGCTGGTGGGAATGCAATCTTGTGCAACCACTTTGGAAATCAGTGTTTCGGTTTCTCAGGAAATTCGGGATCAACCTACCCCTGGACCCAGCAATACCACTCTTGGGAATATACCCAAGTGATGCCCGATCATATGACAAGGGCATTTGTTCAACTATGTTCATAGCAGCATTATTTGTAATAGCCAGAACCTGGAAACAACCTAGATGTCCTTCAATGGAAGAATGGATGAAGAAAGTGTGGAATATATACACATTAGAGTACTACTCAGCGGTAAAAAACAATGACTTCTCAAATTTTGCGTGCAAATGGATGGAAATAGAAAATACTATCTTGAGTGAGGTAACCCAGACCCAAAAAGATGAACATGGGATGTACTCACTCATAATTGGTTTCTAGCCATAAATAAAGGTCAGTGAGTCTATAATTTGATATCCTAAAGAAGCTAAATAAGAAGGTGAACCCAAAGAAAAACATATAGCTATCCTCCTGGGTAGGGGAAGTAGACAAGATTGCCAGGCAAAAAATCGGGATCTTAAGGGTGGGGTGGGAGGGGGGTAAGGGGAGATGGGGAGAGAAAAGTGAGAAGGGTAGGATGGGGAGAACTTGGGGCAACGGGATGATTGGGATAAAGGAAGGTTGGATAGGGGAGCAGGGAAGCACATATCTTAATTAAGGGAGTCATCTTAGGGTTGGGAAGAGACTTGGACCTAGAGGGGCTTCCAGGTGCCCAAGGCGAGGTCCCCAGTTAGTTCCTGGGGCAGCTGAAGATAGGGAACCTGAAATGATCCTATCCTATAGCCATATTGATGAATATTTTGCATATCACCATAGAACCTTCATCTGGCGATGGATGGAGATAGAGACAGAGACCCACACTGGAGCACTGGACTGAGCTCACAAAGTCCCAATGAGGAACAGAAGGAGGGAGAAGATGAGCAAGGAAGTCAGGACCAAGAGGGGTGCACCCACCGACGGAGACAGTGGGGCTGATCTATTGGGAGCTCACCAAGGCCAGCTGTGACTGAAAAAGCAGGGGATAAAACTGGACTCTCTGAACATGGCGAACAATGAGGGCTGATGAGAAGCCAAGGACAATGGCACGGGGTTTTGATCCTACTACATGTTCTGGCTTTGTGGGAGCCTAGCCAGTTTGGATGTTCACCTTTCTAGACCAGGACGGAGGGGGGAGGACTTTGGACTTTCCACAGGGCAGGGAACCCTGACTGCTCTTCAGACTTGAGAGGGAGGGGGAGAGGAGTGGGGGGAGGGGGGGAGGAGTGGGAGGCTGGGAGGAGGCAGAAATTTTTTTTTCTCAATAAAAAAAAAGAAAAAAAAGGAAAAAGAAAAAATAAATAAATAAACGGAAAAAAATTAAAAAAAAACAAAATAAATAAATAAATAATAAAAATAAAAAAAGAGCTATGGATAAGCTTTCGTAATTAACAAAAAAAAAAAACAAAACAAAAAAAACAAAAAACGTGTGTGGTGTGCCACGCCTCACTACAGATCCAGTTCCTCCATGGTAATGTATAAAATGCACCAACATTGTTTCTTGAGGCTGTGTATACTATCCCTGTTTGTTGTTTTATCCATCTTGTGGCATAGCGCCTGTCGTGGATGTTTGTACACTGTGTGAAGATATATTGCTGTGATTGGTTAATAAAAAGCTGAACAGCCAATGGCTAGGCAGGAGGTATAGGTGAGACTTCTGGGCAGAGACACAGGAAGAGGAGATGAATCTAGGCACATAGGAATCACCAGTCAGGGCAGAGAAGGCAGGATGGTCAGTATGGAGGTACAGAGAGATGAGGTGTTGAGCCCCCAAACTGATCGCAGATTAAAAATATGAGTTAATTTAAGTTACAAGAACTAGTTAGGAACAAACCTAAGCTAACTGAGCTTTCATAATGACTAACAAGTCTCCATGTCATTATTTGGGAGCTGGTAGGCAGGACAGAAAAAGATGCGTTACAACCAACAGTACTTATGGAGGCCCTGCACCTAAGTCTGCACTGCAGGAGTCCTGAGCTGCTCTGTGGGGGGAGGCATAGGACAGGGAGGGCCCCAGTACTGCTCACAGGGCTTCGTTGGTGAGCTTGGCTAGAGATTGTCAAGTCTAGAAGGGACTCCCATATGATTGGGGGAACAGCAAAACAAGCACGGGGTTGGCTAGGAGAGCAAAGGAGGGGCTGTGCTGTGGCCCCATGGTAGACACTTGTCTTCTGTGACTGAGGCCCTTGGTTCATTCCAAGAGGGAAGGGAGACTGAACCAATAAGAGGAAAACTAAAAATAAATGGGAAAAAATGTTGAAATAGAATGTATATACAGGGAGTTTGGGATTTAGCTCAGTGGTAAAGCGTTTGCCTAGCAAGCACAAGGCCCTGGGCTCGATCCTCAGCTCTGGAGCGGGGATTAAAAAAAGACAAAATAACAAAAAATATCAAAATATAGATTGTGTTAGTATTTCTTTGGCTAACGATGCCCATAGCACTGCCAACATACACAACAATTGTGGCAGACCTGGCTCCCCACCTGGTTTGCAAAATATGTGAGATTCGGATTGTCTAATTTGATTTTATTTTTTAAAGACAGGCTCTTTTTTTAGCTCAGGCTGGTCTTGAACTTGTGTAGCTGATGACAACCTGGAACACCTAATCATCCTGTTTCAACCTCTGGCGTTCTGGGACTGTAGTCCTGCCTTATCATAGCCTGCTTCTTGTTTGAACTGTTCATGTTGTGTTGTTTGATGTATGGGAAGTATATATTTTAGAATAAATGAAGTTATTTCCCAGAATGGGGTAGCTTTGTATAAAAACAATGCCATCTTTTTTTTTTTAAACCCAAACAGCTGTTTTCTCACTAGGAGGTTCATAACAGACTTATTCAGAACTGTACTGAGTATAGAATCAAAGCTTGGAGTTCAGACTCAAACTTTTTCTCATGAACCCCTTAGGGGTGAACGAAACTTCTAGTATCTTCAGAGAGAGCAGGTTCAGAACGTGTGGCTCAGAGCAGAGGAAAGCATTCTATCGACTCCTCTGGGCTCCTCTCTCTACCCCATCTGCCGCACCTTCATCACCTGGGGCCTCCCCTTCCCTGAGAAGAGCCTTTCCCCCTGCCTTTTTACCTCGCTGCATGCATCAAGTCAACTCCCAGTTTTTCCAGAACCATCCCCCACCTGTGCAGTCGGATGACGACCAACACTGAAGTTGTGCCTGAGAACAGATGGCTGGGAGGACCCCTCTACATGGCTACCCCGTTCCCCTGAAAAAAGAAAGACCAAACATTTGAAAGAACCTACCCCATGTCTTCAGTAATTTTAGTTTTATCTTCTTGGGAACATTCTGAAGATGGATTTGCACTTGCTAAGTATCTCTGTGCATCAGAGAAAAAGACTACCTTTGGCTTACCCACCTGCGGGTAATAAACAGGAACTATGTGATGTATTGTTTCAAAGTTACCTGTAGCATACAAAGAATTAAAAGCATCCTGCTTTGAAACTAATTACTAGATCATCAAATGACATATATTAGTATCTTAAATTATATGTTATGGAATGAAGTTAAACAAATACAAATAAACCCACATTGAATCATTAACAAATTAATAATCAAAATAAAATACAGACTTTTATATAGAAAAACCATACAGGAAAGTTCAAAGATCTTATAAAGAAAATGGACATTCTAGAATTAATATAAACATCCACTGACTTAAATTTATTCTCAAAGTAACCTTTAGGCATGGATCAGTCATGTTGTTGGGACATGCTTATACTTTTACTTGAACAATTATCATTTCATATCACATACGGTTTCCAGCGTGATGTCCCTTCTAGTGGGACTGCCTTGTTTACCCCTAATTCCGACTGCCGGGGTCTACACTGGGCAGATCACAAATGCCTCTAACTCCCGCTCCCAGGAACCTACACTCTTGTGGCCCCCATGGGCACCTGCACACACGTGTGTGCACACACACAAACATGAAAAAGAAATGGCTAGAGGACTAGAGAAGCACACATCTGTGACAATGCTTACAGGCACAATTAGACTCTCAGGCCTCCTAATGCGGGGTGGATCTGTGATCTGATAGCATTCTGGGGAGATGGTTAAAAAGTAGGAAGCAAGGCTTGAAGTAGGTCACTGGGGACATGTCCTTAGTGACTCTAACTTGCCCTGACTTCTTTCTTTGTTTCCTTTTCTTTGTTCCTGTCTAGAAGTGAAGAACCACGTCCAAAGACCACTCTACTGCCACAGTGCTTTGCCTGCTCACAATGCTGGGGCAGCCATGGGCGCAAATAGTCCTCTGCCATTATGAGCTGAAATAAATCCTCCCCTTTATGCTTAAACACACAATGAAGGAAGTAACTCACATGTTTCTTCGTCATCGCTAACACCTGCTGCTTTTGTTTTGTTTTGTTTTGTTTTGTTTTGTTTGTGTACCTGAGGTTGGTCCTGAACTCCTGATACTCTTATCTTCTCTCCTAAGTGCTTTGATTACCATGCTGGATGTGTGTGTGTGTGCGCGCGCGTGTGTGTTTTACCTGCCCCCCCCCAACTCACACATACATACATTTCTTTAAATAACAGCTGTTCTGGCTGATGTGAAGACTCGTCGTCATGACTACTGAGTCAGTATCTTCATGGACCACTAACTTTATTATGCTGGCCATTTTTAATGTCTCTTCAGAAATGTCTACTCAGGTCCTTAGTTTATTGAGTTGTAGGAGTTTCTTTGTCAAAATAACTCATGTTGTGACTTCATTTGTGCAACTTGTGGTGCTTGTTGCTCTAGGTTTGTCTTTTCTTGGTTTCAAACTGTTTTGACTACTAAATTTTGTAGTATATTTGAAGTCAGAAGCTATGGTGTCTCTAGCTTTCTTCTTCCTCAAGATTGATTTGGTTATCTGTGATCTTTGTGGCTTTATATGAACTTAGAATGTTTTTCTTATTTTTGTAAAAGCTGCCATTGTGATCTTGACAGGGAGTGCATTAAATCTGTAGATCACATTGGGTCGGACAGATATTATAACTTTTAAGTCTTAAGTTTGTTTCACAAACATGGAATGGTTTTTCATTTGTGTCCTGTTTAGTTTCTTTTATCATTGCTTTCCAATGTTCAGAATACAGGTATTTTACCTTCCCAGGTGGGTTTATCTCTGAGTACCTGACTCTTTGGATACTTTGGTAAATGGGGCAGTTTTCTAACCTCTATGTTAGATACTTTATTGTGGGTGTTTCATATAACCTTAACGAGTGCATTGTTAGTTTTAGACACACTAATTATAAAGAGATTAATTAGGGTTCCTTTGAGAAAATTAAATGATTAATTTCAAAGGTTGTAGGCTTTAAAGCACATTATAATGTCTATTATTTCACGAAATTTCATTGAAGTTAAAATTCACTTAGTTGTCTGTGTATTACAAAAATATTTGAAATCTATGAAGACAAAATGAGTATTATTTTTTAGCATAGGCCTAGTTTTAGGGTAAAGGCTGATGTTTAATCCTGTGTGTACTTCAATCTTAATAAGGGTCTTTGACGTAATACTGAAAGCCATAAAATGCTGAAGTGTGTGCGCGCGTGTGTGCGCGTGTGTGCACGTGTGTGCGTGTGTGCGCGTGTGTGCGTGTGTGTGCATGTGTGTGTGACAAGAAACTGAAGCCAGAGCTCCACACACGGTGTCTACCACTGAGCTAGCATGCCCAGCCCTTCCTTATTTTGAGACAGGATAATTTGCCCGGGTCGGTCTCAAACTTGAAACCTTCCTGCCCTAGCCTTCTAGATATCTAGGAGTACGAGCGTTCACCAGTGCTACGCAGGGCTACAAGGTTACAATACAGCCAGGGGGAAGAACAGCAGAAGTGTCTCCTGTGTGTCTCACAAGTCTCGGACCGTGAAACGTGCGCATGGCCAGCACAGCGCCCGTCATTGACATACTGTCCCCTGACCAAGTTCCAGTTCTCTCCAGTTCTCCTGCATGGTTTTCCATAGCCAGTATTCAGGGGCGTGATACAGCAAGATCACCTCCATGCCTTTCCACTCCCACCCTCCTCACCTCAGCCTGTGCCCCGGTGTCTCCTCCCTGGGCCTAACAACCCTCCAGGATGCTTCTGTTCTTTTCATCCAAGCTGCCAAGAAGAGTGAGTTGTGGGCAAATGCTGCTGTGTGCGGAAGAGGCTTGCTCCACTGCAGACTCTGTGGGGTCAAGTCTAGTGGGCGTCCTAATCCGGCAAGGCAACTGTTACATTACTCTATATCTAGTTGTACGAGTTAGGCAAAGGCTAGTGTGTCCTTGCTAACACAGCCATAGCATATTATAATCCAAACATTTAGGCTTTAGCGTGTGTGCATAAGAGGACCAGCCACAGAGTGTAGGTAAATACAGTTAACATATTTAATTTTAATATTTATGTGTTTATCATTTTGATTTTTTTTTTTGAGAGTCAGTTGCCTAGACTGTATTGGAATTCACTGTGTAACTCAGGCTGATCTTAAACTTATTGTGATCCTCCTGTCTCAGCTTCCTGAAGGCTGGGATTATGGGTGTGAGCAACTACGTGTGACGCATTTTAATTTTTTTTCTTTTTTTTATATTTATTTATTATATATACAATATTATGTCTACATGTATGTCTTCATGTCAGAAGAGGGCACCAGGCCTCATTACAGATGGTTGTCAGCCACCACGTGGTTGCCGGGAATTGAACTCAGGACCTTTGGAAGAACAGGCAATGCCCTTAACCGCTGAGCCATCTCTCCAGCCCCTGCATTTTAATTTTTTTATCCTAGTGACAAAAATTGATTATTTGCACTAATGTTAACTATATAGTGACATCGGTTTCACGACTTATACCTCTACTGTTTTCTCACTCATGCGACGGATATTACACGCTTTGCTGGACCAGAAGGTCGGTCTCCCTGAACTCATGATATGACCGTGTATGTGGCTGACACAGGCACAGCCAATGTGAACCTAGTGCAGGGTTTGTTCCTACTGGTTACCATCTTCATTGCTGGCAAAAGTTCCTAGTAACTCCATGTACCTCTGTTGACAACTAGGTAGCTGAATACACTTCCAATGTCTAAAAGCACCACCATAAAACCCTGAACTCCACATCCCTCCTGTCTCCCGTATTTTTAGACACTCTCTCAGCTGGAGGTGGTGGGCGAGCGATGGGCACTTACTTATGTAGGAGTCGCTCCGATCCTCATTCTTACTGCTCTTTTTCTTGCTGATTTTCTTGGCATCTTTGGATGCTTTCCAATTCGTAAGGAATTGTCTTTCCAGATTTTTTATTTCTTTTCCATCAAGAAATTCTGGAGAAGATATGAATGTTAAAAATACAGTACCGTCAGATGGTAGTGGCGCACACCTTTAGTTCCAGCACTGAGGAGGCTGACAGGCGGATCTCTGTGAGTTCAAGGTCAGCCTGGTCTACGAGAGCTAGTTCTGAGACATCCTGGGCTACACAGAGAAACCCTATCTTGAAAAACAAAAAAAAATAAATGATATACAGTATGTATGTATAAATATTTAAATAAAAGTATATACTTCTGGCTTATAGTACATGTTACATTGTAAGCTAAAATAAAGTCCTTCTTAAAAATACCTTAGACATGCTAGCTAGCTAGCTAATCTTATCATTCCAAAAGTTGAGGCAGGAAGATTACCATGGGTTTGAGGACAGCCTGGCTACTAGAATGAATTCTAGGCTAACCTGGGCTACAGAGGGAGAGCTTGTCTCAAACAACAAAAATAGCAGTGCCAGGAATGGGTTACATCTTGATTTGTTGCTGGAGAGGCACCATGGGAGCTCCCAAATGTCACAGGCTGCTGGTTGCTCTCCGTGAAGAGACGGTGGGCTCTGCTGCCGAAGACGCTTGCAACCTACACGTACATACATCACCAAACATGGAGCAGGTGAGCCGGGGTCTGCCTAGAGGAGGAATATAATCCTATCCCAGCTACAAACGCTCCAATGGCAACCTGCCCTCAAGGTGCGCTGGTGCAATAGTGGCACAAGTGTTGTGGAAATGACCAACCACTCTCTGATGGCCAAGGACCTGCAAACGGACAGGCAATGGGCCAGGGGAAAACTAAATTCTATTGCTCTGCTAAAGGACACAGCCATAAGATGACTCCTAATGGCATTCTGCTATCTCAGTGCCTTGCTCAACCACCATCAGGAAGCTTCTTGCAGTATATGAAACTAACAGAAAAGACACACAGCTGGACCATGCACCAGGTAAAGTCTCCCCGCGAGGGCTCAGAGGCAAACGCTGAAGATGAGGCAGAGGTGCTGGGTGACTCCAAACAAACAGAGGCTCCAGACACAAGAACAGTGCACATGTGAACGCATAGAGACCGTGGTTACACGCACAGGGCCGGCACAGATCCAAGGCCAACGGGGTCCTATCACTGAATTGCGGAAGTGGACATGGGCTCGCCCCACTACTGAGAAGCTATCTGCAACTAATACCTGCTGGGAAATGAAAACTCAGCTTTCCTCTCAATGAACCTCTCTGGGTATATTAACTGCCCTCCAGAATAGGCCCCATGACCAGGGCTACAAACACAAAACAAACTCAGTGGTACTTTGAATCCTTTTTGCTTTTAGAAATCAATAAACTTATCCCCATGCCTTTTACAACCTTGTGTATGGAGAAACGTTTTTGTTTTTGTTTTCCTTTTTGGTTTTTCAAGACACAGAGTTTCTCTGTGTAGTCCTGGAACTCTCTTTGTAGATCAGGCTAGCCTTGAACTCAGAGATCCACCCCCCTCTGCCTCTGGAGTGCTGGGATTAAGGGTGTGCGCCACCACTGCTGGCAAAAATGATTTTAAAATGGGGGATTTTGTTTTTTATTTTTCTTCTCTCCCTCCTTTATCTCTCCTCCCTCCTTCCTTCCTGTCTGTCTGTCTGTCTTACAGAGTTGAAGACTAAACCCAGGGCCTGGTGAGTGCTAGGCATGTAACTCTATCACTGAATCACATTGCAGCCCCTATTGAAATTTTTATTTTTTGAGTTGGGGGTCTCACGATATAGCTCATGCTGTCCTGAAATTGGTATGTAGATTAAGCTGCCTTTGAACTCACAATTCTCTAGCCTTCTGCCTCCCAAGTGTGAGGATTAAAGGCGTGCGCCAACACACAAGCTTTATATTGGAATATTCTTACTCATTAAACATTAATTGTATTCACTTTTTCCCCTGAGTAAAGCAGACCGGTGCAGCTGTGTGTGGTATCTGCAGAGCAGAGTCATCTGTGGAACTTTTAAGACATAACACCATTCACCTCTGTGTATTTATTATTTGCTCCCTGTCTTTGTGGGCTGTGTATAGCTCCTGTATATATATATTTTGAAAAAAAAATGTTTTTCACTATTTGATCTGCTTTTCCCCACACTAGAGAACCACTGAACTAGCATTATGATTAACTAGCTATGAGTTCTGAAGTCATTTTGTCATGTTTTAGTTTTTCATTAATTCTTATCCCCAGGGTTCTGCTCCAGGAAACTCTCACAAGGCTCCTCCGTGACATGGCACTGCCCGTCGCTCTGATGCTATGTAACTTTGGCTCCACCAAACAAGTGTTCTGGCCCATTTTCCCCAATCGAGGGTTGACTTAGGAATGTTATTATTTGTAAGGATTTTTTTAAAGCAACTCCCTAGCCCCCTTTCCAATGAAAGGGACACCCACGTAAGGGACAAGTAATCAATCTGATCAGTTAGTTTATCTGCAGAGCCGAGAGCTAAGGAGCCAAAGGGCCTGCCAAAGATTTGTTCCAAGTGAAGTTTAGCTCATTTGTGGCCAACAAGTTATGTAGGTTGTCATTTTCTCATGTGCTGGTGTTTATTTATGAACAGAAAAAAAGCATTACTTTCTATTTTTACCTTTGCTATTATTCAAACATATACATTTAAGTTGACCAATTTCTAGAGCCAGATGTTATATTTATATCTCTGAAGGCTTGATGATAAATTAACTTAAAAGTAAAACAAGCGTTTTTCTAAGAAAGTCGAATTAATGTAAAACACTACTCACCCAGGGACTTGGACATCAGTATCAGTTTGTCCCTGTATTTTGGTTTAAGACAAACAGGATTTCCATTTAGATCCATTTTCCACAGCTTCATCAGTTTTTTCAGTAAAAGCTCCAAATCCTGTAACCAGGGAAGAAAAAAGGAAGGCATGTGGTCTCCTGGTTACCAGCTCTTCTCGGGCCAGCTGCTCTTTGAAGGCAGAAACTGGTTTTTCTGGAGATCTAGCTCTTCCGGTAGGCTATGTGTGGTAGGTTGTGTGCGGTAGGATGTGTGCAGCCACCAGCTTTGTCTCTACTGGCAGTGGGGTGGCTAAAGGGGAGGCCAAATATGAGGTGCTAAGTTGGGGACCACAGCACTGCTCTTGATCATGGTGCCCTTAAATCGACCCAACCTGTAGCTAAGGAAACAGGTTTTCTCCAGCAGCTACCCTGCTCTCAGTGGAATGCAGTTTACACCAAGGGAAGAGCAGTGAGCAAACACGCCATTAGCCAGCCCTGGGACACTGTCCGGAAGCAGGAGGGACCAGCTGAGCTGCCTAGCAGAGGCTCAAACCAACTGGGCCACCGCAAAGGACACTCTCCAGCCTGTTCTGCCTGCCGTCTGTGCAGTGGTCCAGGCTTCCAGCCTTCAGGAGTGTTACCCACGGGAGAGGGCTTTTGATGATGCGGCCTCCTCTGAGTCATTTCTGCTCCTGTAAAAACCCCTTACCCAGCTTCCTGTAAGTCACCTCAATAAAACTCATTGGTTCATCCAATTAAACAACAGCACAGTCTGTCAGCATTGTAAGCAATATACGTTGTTGCCTTTTTTTTAAAAAAATGAAGAATGTGGTAAAATCCTGTCAAAATGTAAAACAGAAAAAAATGACTTGCGTGCTTATCACCCAAAAATCATATTGAACTCAGTGTTGTATAACCTTCTAATCATTTGGAGGCACAGGGATTTCTTTTAAAATTATGCCCTTACTATGGTTACATTTTTCTTTTACTTTTTGTTGTTGCTGCTGCTTTTTTGACAGGGTCTCATTATTTAGCCCTGACTGGCCTGGCATTTACTCTGTAGACCAGGCAGGCCTTGAACTCACAGAGATCCACCTGCCTCTGCCTCCGAGTGCTGGGATTAAAGGCGTGCGCCACCGCATCCAATTTTGTTCTCCCTTTTGTGATAACCATCTGCATGCTTTTATAGCTTACCAGAAAAGGACTTGTTGACATTCAAGGAAAACTAAGTTAATCCACTGTGTACAAGTCACATGAAGGTGAAGGAGACAGAGGAGTGGCACCTCAGAAGTCTGGAGGCTCCCTCTTCCCCCCTTTTCTCACTATTGCACTGCTTTTCCCAGTGAGAGTCAAAACCTGCACCAAACCTCTATCTTCCTGCCATTCGTTCCCTTGCTTTCTCCCCTTCCTCTTTAAAAATAAATGTATTTTAACTACTATTTAATGAGAAGAATATATGCTTTGAATGCTTCTTCTATATGCCCCCAAAGACTCATTTTTTAAAAATGAAATAAAGAATATTAAATGCACCAAAAAAGCATTGCACTTTGGTTGTCTCTATATCTTTATTATTTTTGAAAAATGGCACAACAAACATAAGAATGCAGATATATCTTCAAAACAGTAGGGGCATAGCTACCTCTAGAGTCTAGTCTGCTTGACTCTGAGGGATCAAAACAAACAACTTGTGAAAACAGGAGCTGTCTCTTCAGAAGCAGCCCTTGTCTCTCCGGCTTTTGCTTACTGTGCGCATGTCATGATTTTCTTATTGTCATCATCATCATTTTTATTATTATTCAGCTTTTTTGAGACAAGTTTCTCTGTGCAATCCTGGAGCTCTATCTATAGACCAGGCTGGCCTCAAACTCACAGAAATCTACCTGCCTTTGCCTCCCAAGTGCTGGGATTAAAGGTGTGACCACCACGCCAGGCTTCCTGTCTTTGTAAAGAGGCTGCAGCTAGAACTAATTGTCATGAATCTAAAGTGCCCAGAACAAAACAGGTAATTCATAAATGTGCCCACTTTCTGCCTGCTCTGCTGTTCTTCAGCTAAGCCCCTTTCTCTTAATTTTGACTAACAGCAAAATTTAAAGACGAAACTTTTGATTCATTGACCAACAAATAGTTATCTTCAAGTAAGAAAGCTGTCTTTAAAATTATAACCTCAGTCCTCATTCTTGAACCTTAGGTTTTGCTTGGTCTGAAGCATTTGTTCCATGTTTAACATAGCCACGATGACTTTAGCCAAGAGCTCTGAATTTCTCTTACTCTAAAAGCCACAAGGAAGGACCTGGGAGCTGTATGCTTCACACTGTTGAATATGACGCCCATAGCAAGAGAACTTTACACCCACGCAGATAAAACCATGTTTGGAGTTTTGTTCATTATTCCTCGCTTGATAAATGACCCTGGACACACTCCCCCCAGTGTATGTTTACTTAAGGCTAAGCTAATCCTGCTCTGAAATACGATTACCCTTCGGATACGCTCTGCTTGTTCATTGCCTTCCTGTCCTTAATAAAATGCTTTCACTCTCCTGCCCTTCGATAAATTACTCAAGGAACCAGACACTTTTCTGGACAGTCTCTGTTTGATAAATGATCATGTCATGCTATCGCTCAGAGCGCTGCCAAGTCTGAGGCGCCAATTCCCCTTCCCCTGCAGGCTGGTACCCTGCTCCTGCACGGGCGACTCTAGCAGGCAGTGCTCCTTGCTTTAATGATGACTCTGATGAACCTGTATTTGACCAGCACGCTCCAATCTTTATCGGAAATGTCTGGCCCCACTGTCCTCACCAAGTCTAGAGACAGCCATTTGTCATCCCTCTGACTGCCTGTCATCATCTGCCTGAGGAAATCTATAATTTTGGGCTTGTTCCTGACTAAAGTGTAGAATGAATAAATTTATCTTTGGGCCATGCTGCTTGCCAGGATCAATACTGAGCAGAGGTTGAATAAATTAGAAACGAAGAAAACATGACAGGCTATTGTGGCTTGTTCACTTGTGCATTGTAAATCAAATGTTTAGCTTATAAAAGAGGCAAGCACGTCAAGTTTTTCATTTTTCCCATTTATTTATGAAGATTCTCTGTCTCATGATAAATGGTCATCAGAAAACCAATGAAGTAAATCACTAACGAATCTGGCTGTGAGAGGAACTCAGGTCGTTTTATTGATTTGGCAAACTTTGCAGACATAAAAACTGTGGCAAAGAGTAAGGATATTTTGTTGTTTTTCCTTCAACTTTTGTTTTGTTTGCATTTTTGGACATGCATTTGACTTTGTATAACATTAGCAACTTGGATAACGTGGCCTAGTGAAGTTCATAACTCAACCTGAACTCAATTTGCAGAAATTTAAGTTGAGCTGAGCTGTAAATCACTAAAATATTTGGTGCTTTTAGATACTGATGCATGCCTGTTTAAAGAGGTTACAGGAAAAATGCAAAACAAAAAGTCATGAAATGTCATTTAAAGTAGAGCCCCATAGGTTAAAGGATGACTGTCATTATCATCATCATTATTATTATTTGGCTTGAAACTTCTCTTTCCTCTCCTCCTCAATAGTGACCTTGGTCCACGCTTTACTGGGGGAGAAGTAGGTCAGGTCTTACCGAGGTTTTCTCAGTTAACTGCTGTGATCTCACAGTTCCTTTCCCTTTTTCATTTTTCTCCACAAAGAGTGCTATTTCTTCCCCCACTAATGAGCCTTTTGATCCTGGCTGCCTCCTCTGGGGTCTTCTCTCTTGTGTCTTCATTTCCTGTCTCCCTTCTCTGGCTGCTAGCCTTTCTTTTATCCACAGTCACCAGACCCGTTGACTAGGGCTTCTCGAAGACTTCTGTGCACAGGAATCACCAGGGGGAGCTTGGGAGGTGGCTCAGCAGGTGAAGGGCATGTCATCAAGCCTGACTACCTGAGTTCAGACTTGGGGAGCCACATGTCTGAAGGAGAAAACTCTCACAAGTTGTCCTCTGTGCAACACACGTGCAACATACACACACACACACACACACACACACACACAAAGAAAAAAATGTAATTGTAAATTTTAAATAGAATCACAAGGGACCTTGTTTAAATGCAGGTCCTGAGCACTGTGTCTGGTGAGGAAGTTATGACTGACTCCATGTGAAGCTGCAAGGGTTTAGTCAATTCCTTCACTTAAACCACTGGGCACTCCCCCAGGCTGAAGAGTCAACGGGCTACATGGTGAACTGCTGCCTGGGTCCATCCCTGGCGAAAACTCACTGAGCTGAGTCAGAGCAGTAGGCCATCAGCGACCATCAAGAACCCCTTCCTTTTCTAAACCTGACATCTACTCCTTCAAAAGCAACGCTTGATTTCACTCCCGGGCTCACAGAAGAGGGTGCATTCACAGAAACAGCTGTCCTCCTGCCGTCCACCACCACCATGTCCACCGTACATAAACCTTCCCAGCAAATAATCCCTCCTGCCACGTTTGCATCCATGACGGTGTTCTCATCCATAACCACAAAGCGGAAGACACCTCTGTTCATCTGGCTCTGCGCTGTACGTAGCCTCACACCTAACTGCTTATTTGGTGTTTTTCTGGAATGTTTCAAAGACACTCCAACTCTGCAGGACCCAAATTCGTGATCTCTGTGTACCCAAACCTGACTCTAGAGTTCTCCATAGCTCGTTTATCTCTGCTCAGTATTCCCTACGTCCAGCTAGAAGCGCGCCTTGCCCACTTTATCCTCCAAACTGTTCTCCGGTTTGTTCGCTCCATTTCCACCCCCACCGTTAACGTGTCTACTACTCACTTCTTAGCTGGCCTGGACTCTTCCAATCTGTTCTTCACACCCCAGTCAAGCAGAATCGTTTCAGAATGCTAACATCTAATTATTTCACACCTTCAGTGGCTCCCGGTGTTGTCAGCATAAACAAAACTCTATTATAGCCAAAGCAGCCGGTCCGTCCACAGCGCCTCTCTGGACTATGTTCTGTCTTCACTCGCTCAGCCTCGCATTCCCTTTAGGAAAAGTGTGTGCTTGCCTTAGGGGGCCATTTCCTGGCCTGGAAATCTTTTCAAGAAGGGCTATGTCAGAAGGAAGTCTGACATCCTCGTCTACTAGTGTGAGTCTTTTGTTACAAGGACCACTCTATTCCCCTCGTGACATAGGAATTAAACATGAGAGGTACAGTGGAACAGGCTGTGAAGTTCTTCCTTCAAGGGTACACATGGGACAAGGAGGAAAGGTGGTTCTTTGCTTCCTGTGCTTTCTCTTCCGCATCTTACCCACCCGCTTTATTTATTCTTGCCTAGAAGTCCCTGACCTGGACCAGCTCCGGAGGGATGAGGGCGGGCTGAGAGCAACATGGCAGAAGGACTCCCTGATAGCTGTGGGTCTGGGGACTGAAGGGAAGGGATGACACTCGGGTAGCCGGAGAGAAACAGACGCTATGGCCGTGCCCAGAAGCCCAAGGGTCGTGGCTTTGGCTTCTAACGTGCTAATGCTTTCACTTCCCGTAGGCTCCTGGACCACCAGGAAATGAGGACCTGGTCATGGTCCGTGAGCGTCTGGGTTTCCTAAAGACTCAGTTCTTCCTTGTTTTCTTTTTTTCCCCACAGAGTTCAAAGATTTCAGTAGCCTGGCAGTCTTTGTAGTACTTTTTACCTGCATGTGTTTTTAGAAAAATTCTCCTTGAGATCATTCTAATAGATCATTATTTTTCTATTTTTTTAAAAATTGATTTTCCATGCCAAATTATACTGTCATTTTCTAGTTTATGTTACTACATAAAAATCCATGGGCAAGACCAACAGGATTTCTCATTGTCCTGTATAATCTGTTATAATTATTTAATGAGTGACCATAGAGTCCATTTGTAATTACATATCTGAATTTAAATTCTGAATTTTTAATTTTAGCGGCAACGTAAGTTCTCAACAGAAGCAATCATTTTCACATTCTCCTTTCCTGTGTAACAACTACATTCAGTTGTTTCTGGGGACTCATCTGTGGGACGTGCTGGGGTCTGTCCAGAGGCAGCTGCCCCCTAAGTGCCCAACACCTCAGGTAATTATCGTGGGGCTGTCCGCTTTCTCTAACGATGGCTGTCTTTCCCAGTGGCGCAAAGCTGTCTGCTGCCGACAACCCTTTGTGTGGAAGTCGGTGACCTTATGCGCGGCATGAGAGATTTTTTCCCCAAGGCATAGCGTTTACCAGTAGGTTAGGGCAAAAGGAGTGGTAAACTTGCAGCAGTAACAGAGACCTTGGATGCAGAATATACACAAGGAAAGAAGCTAATATTCAGGTGCTGGGCTCCAATGCCATCTTGACTAAGTCTGCATGGGACGATTTAAATGACAAAAGCACGCTCAGATACATCCTGGGCAGGCTCGGTATTCAGGATCCAATGAACTGAGTCCAGGCTTTTTTTCTTGCCCATGTTTCTAACAGGTTCCTATCTTGTAAGGAACTTGGCACTGCTCTTGTGGATTTCAATATTCCTTCTTTGTCCTGTCCTTTCGATGTTTTAACTATATTTCCGTGCGAGAGTCATTTTTCTTGTCCTGTGTTTTTGGATATGCATTTGTTCCCTAGATTTGGGGAAATTTCTGCCATAATGAGTAAGTTTTTCTATGCCTTTAGTCTTTTACCTAGGATAGTGTGCTCAACATTTTATTCTTGCACCCTGAAAATCTACAGGTTTTAGCTAAAAATACACCCAGTACACCCACTCCTCATCTCCAAGCAACCACATCTCGTTCTCTCACGCACATAATCTTACTTCTTGCCTGTAATAGTTTCTCAACTCATATCTTTGCTTTTATTCTTGAAACTCATTCTTCATACGACAGAAAAATCCTTTTGAAAAATACATTCCTTCCAATGACTGTCTCTGCACTTAGAATTAGGTCATAATTATGTCCTGTGCTGACCTTGTGACCTGACCCCTATGCCTTTCTTTCTGATCTCATATCATAGCGCTGCTTCTGTGCTACTGAACTTTCTGGGCACCTGCAGTATATCAACAATAAGGGCCAGCCCTCGGGCCAGTCCATAGTGAAATGACCTCGTTTTGGTTCTTTGAACATCCCAAACTGTCTCAGAGAAACACAGCTGCTATCCCTTATGCCTGCCATGTTCACCATCTAGCTTTCTTTCCTTTTTGAGGTGTTCTTGCTTTGTAGACCAAGCTGGCCTGAACCCGTATCTTTCACATTACCTGTGTCTTCCAAGTGTTGGGATTGTAGGTATGTGCCACTATGCCCAGCTTGGACATTCTTGAGGCCTGGAACTGTCCTTCCTTCCTCTGTAGTACAATGCCAGACAAACACAGAAGGCTTCAACACACAGCTGCCTAAATGATCGATGTAATGACATGGCATGGCATGGCACGATATAATAGGACATGCACTCAGCTAGTGCGAATTAGAACGAGTTGCTGTCTCTGTACTTCCCCACGTAGCATCAGGGAGCAGCTAGGCTGACGTTCCTAGGAACTCATTTACTAGGAGCACATAGTTAAAGAAGAAACTCTGCTTCTAGGAGAAAGTCTAATGGACAAATAGAAAGTAGATAGAAAGGCATATAGCTCCTCAGAGAAATATGGAGGATAAAACAAGGAAGACATAAATAGTTATAGTTAAGAAGTAGAGATTCGGGGGGTTGGTAATATGTCTGAGTGGTTAAGAGCACTTGCTGACTGCTCTTCCAGAGGACCCAGGTTCAATTCCCAGCACCCACATGGCAGTTCGCAACTACCTGTAACTCCAATTCCATGGGACCAGACAACCCATGACAAAACACCAATGCACATAAAATAAAAAAAATAAAAATTTAAAATTTAAAGATTTAAATTTAATTTTTTCAAAAAATTAAAAACTTAAGAGCTGCAGTAAACATTTTTAAAGTAGAAGTGGGGATTCAGAAGACAGATTTAGAATAACCATAGGATAGCATTTTAACAAGTGGCGTTTTTAGAACTCTAAGTGTGTTCTAACCCACAGTCCCGAGTAAATCCTCAAGGCTGGCTTTGCTCACATTACCTTCACATGCACCAGCTGGTTGTCAACGGCGATCAGGTGGTTCAGATTCTCCAGCAACTCTAAGTCTTTTATGTCATCAATATTATTGTTGCTGATATTCAAAATAGAGAGGGATTTCTGGAAAAAATGAACAAACATAAGTAAGTCATCTAAACACTATATACAGGGAGCGGAAGGGTCAGTGCTTTAGGAGCCTCAAGGGCACTAGTTCAGGTTGCTTTGCAGGCAAGAAACAAAAGCCATGAAGATTCTGTTCCAGTGTTTTGTGGGGTTTTTTATATAGAACTTTCAGAGCTCTAGCGTGTGCTATAGCCGACTGTTGCCTCTGGTTCCTCCATGAGCCCCATGCTCCTCCTCCACTGCATTCTGCCCAAACTTTCTTATGGCCTTACTGCCAGAGAACGGAGAGTCCTGGGGTCAAACAGAAGCTTTTCTCCCAGTGGAAGCCTCTGGCTTTCAACATGCAGCTCTCTCAGTTCTTCCAGTCCTTCTAAACCTTCTACGACTGCAATGTAATTGCCTCCCAGGTACCTGCAAAACACAGACAGGGCTTCAAATAGATTTTCTGGGAATGCTGTGGATGTTAAGAATGATAAAAATATAACAAGGAGGGCAGGGGACATGGCCGCTGCGTAAACCACTCACTTCATAGGTATGAGGACCTTAGTTTGAATCCCCAGAACCCACATAATGTGGTCTTGTTAGGAGCATCTGTAACCCCAGAGCTCCTTGGGTGAGATGGGAGATGGAGACAGAAAGAATCCCCTGACACTCATGGGTCAGGTAGCCTGAAACACAAGGAGACCCTGCCTCAAACAGGGTGGGAGATGAGGACCAACCCCAGAGGTTGTTCTCTGACCTCGCCGTTCCCATACCTGCATTCACACGAAAAATGTGTGCACACACAGAAATAAAAATTATACGCACAGAGTGTTATCTTTCTATCAGACCTATGAACGTTCCATCTGAATCACAAATTATATTGTTACACTTAATTTGGTCTAAAATACATTATGTTTTTACATTTTTCAATAGCTTTGATTAATTGGACAAACCAATGGGTTTCATTAGTATATTCATACATGTATATCATATACATCTCCAACGTTTTAAGTGGGATGGTTGAAATAGTGGGTACTGAACTGTTTCCCACATTTTATAACCCAGACTATAGATTTATAAACAGTTTCTGGACCTCACTCCCATGATCTGTTGGATATCGAGACTGGAACTTAGTCGTCTGCCTTTGGTGAGTGTTTCCCCGTCACCCTATTCTGTCCCCATCCTGAAGACCACAGGCCACTTCTAGAAAAATGTGCTAGTTATTCAATCTGGGGAACTTGGATCTGTTGGTCTTCATTGCCCAGCAATAATACTTTAAAAACAGATTTTAGTTTCAATTTATGTATATGTGTGTATGTGCATGTGTGCTGTGTGTGAGCTGGTGGCACCAGATCCCCTGGAGCTGGAGTTATATCCAGTTGTGAGCAGCGGCGTGGGTGCTAGGAACTGACCTCAGGATCTCTGTGGGAGCAGTGCGTACAATTGAGTGCTGAGCAATCTCTCTGACCTCCCTAGTAATAATTATCAGCAACCTTTCAAACAATCAAATCTGTATTAGTTTATGACCTTTACCCTTTGAAATCAAAGCCCCTTGGGGACTCAGAAGAGCACAGAATTTACCTGTGCCCCATGGAAACCCTGTTGACCGACTGGACTTATGTGAGAATGCTTATCCCTAAAAGCCCATTAGATGATTTTTTTCTCCCCACCGGAAGAAAGGTGTATCAAGCTGTTTGGATTTTTGAGCCAGGACTTCATTATATAGCCCAGGCTAGTCTTGAATTTCTAGAAATCCTCTGCCCCAGGCTTCTGAGAGCTGGAATTACAAGCATGAACCACTATGCCTATCTTATCAGGTTTAATTAAAACATCAGTTATATTATTATTAAACTATAATATTATTATAGTTTAATAAATAAAGCTTGCCTGAAGATCAGAGAGTAAAACAGCCCCACTGGTCAGTCTTACAGCCTAGGCAGTGGCAATACACACCTTTAATCCCAGTAGCCACACTAGTTGCCATAGAAACCAGGCAGTGCATTCCTTTAATCCCAGCACCAGAGAGGAATATCAAACAGGAGGAGACAGCTCTCACACACAGTCTCATTCTGAGATTTCTGGATGCAGGATCACCATTTCAGGCTGAGAAAGAGGTAAGAGCCAGTGGCTGGCTGTTTTGCTTTTCTGACCTTCAGATTGAACCCCAATTTCTGTCTCTGGGTTTTTGTTAATCATGCTACAGATTATTGTATTTTATATGAATATATTACATACAATAGGATAAAATTAAAAGTGAAATCTGTTCCATGAAACTTTTGAGAAACAGATTTAAGCCTACACCCAGTTTAGATTTGGGACCTAACGCAACACTGGAAATGCTTGCACAAGAAAGAAAGGGGAAAAGCAGTTAGGAGGATTCACAAATAAAAGCACTTACAGTTTCTCCAGTCTCTTCAGGGACCTGAGGTTCTCGATGCAGGAAATGCAATTGTTCTGCAGATACAAGTGGGTCAGATTCGTGGAATAGTTCAGGTTGGTGATGGCACTAATGCGGTTATCATATAAGTATAAAACGCTCAGGTTTTTGCAGAGAGAGAGGTCGTCCTGAGAAGAAAACAAAACAGGTGCTAGTTCTTTCCCTCTGAATGCTTAGATGCTGGGTTTTAAGAAATACTTTGACACTCTACAAATCTCCCTAAGACTCGTACAAAGTTACATTTCTCTGCACTTAGCATACTCCAAATAAGACTGTAACAATCACTAAGTAATTTTGGGCTTTAGAATTCTGTTACTTTTCCAGTAAATTCGCATTTCTTAATAATTTCTTAAACAGTTTTCATTGGAAGCAATTAGAGACCTTCCTGAAAGCTGAAACAATGAACAAATTATTGTCCAAACATTATAACGCAGAGATTAATCTTCCTGTTGGATTCAAAATAAACTGTCACAGCTTATAGTACTGAAAACTGGAAATTATTCAATAGCTGAGAGTAATGGATTAAAGCCAGGTATGGCGACACACACCTTTGCATTCTGCACTGAAGAGGCTGAAGTGGGTGGATCTCTGTAAGTTCAAGACCACCTGGTCTACATGGTGAGTACCAAGCAGGCCAGGGCAAGAGAGAAAGACCGTGACCCAAATAAATGTGGAGGATAAAAAAACCAAACTATGATGATGCTATCAATCTGAGTCCCGTAAAAAAAGCTTTCATTTCTTTGTACTATTGTGTAGAAGTCAGAACAGGAGAACAGTGGTTTACTCTGACCCACTATTGTGATTACATGAGAAGCTAGAGCTGGGTCACATGGTTTCCAAACATCTTTAATCCAGCACTGGGGAGAAAAAGGCAGGTGGATTTTTGTGAGTTCAAGGACAGCCTGGTGTACAAATGAGGATTTCTGTGAGTTTCAGGACAGCCAAGACCACATAGAGAGACCATGTCTCAAAAAAAAAAAAAAAGCAAAATGAGGACTGGAGAGATAGCTCAGTCACTGGCTGCTCCTCCAGAGGACCCGGGTTCAATTCCCAGCACCCACATGGCAGCTCACAGCTGTCTGTAACTCCAGTTCCAGGGGACCCGACACCTTCACATAGACATACATGCAGACAAAGCACCAATGCACATACTAATACAAACCACTAAAAAGAACAGAACAACCTGAGCGGTGGCGCACGCCTTTCCTCCCAGCACTGGGGAAGCAGAGACAGGTTGGTCTGCAGAGCGAGTTCCAGGACAGCCAGGGCTGCACAGAGAAACCTCGTCTAATACAACTGGCCCAGAATGACATATATTGACATAATTAAATTATATGCAAAAACTTCACCTTTGAACATTTATTGGGGAGAAGGGGTGACTGGACATTGAACACAGGGCCTTGGACACGCTGAGTGTATACTATCACTGAGGTATACTGTCCCCAGTGTTGAAGATTTGTGTCCTTAATCCCCAACCCAAGACAGGTCTCACTGGATAGCTCAGGTTGGTCTTGAACTTAAAATCCTCCTAGCTCAATCTCTGAGTGCTGGGGTTACAGGCAAGTGCCTAGCTCATTTCTTAACATTTTGAAGTTTAAAAAGTATTCCAAAGTTCTGGCGTGGTCCAAAAGTAATTGCTTTCTAAATCCTGTTTGTTGTGCAAATACAAGTGTATCCCAGGGAAACAGCTACATATGTCTAGCAGATATTTGTAAAACACAACTCTATCTTTTACAGAAACTTAATATGCTAAGTACCCAAAGAAGGAAATCAAAAGAGAAACATAATATGCTTCCCAGTAAAAATATAGTTAACAAGTTCAATCAAAATAGAATTATTGTATTGTGTATGCCCTCAAACCAATAAAGTTTATATTTCTAATTGTGTAAAAATGAAATAATTTAAAGTTCTTACAATTGAATCTATATTTCTGTCTGAAAAATTTATGTGCGTTAATTTCTTCAGGCATTGTGCGTTGGTTTCTTCTTTTCGGGGTTTAATATTGCTGCTTTTGGCAATTAAATCCAGAGTCAGTCGAACCATGGTTTCTGTGTAACTGAAACTCTCAGTAAGAACTCCGTTTTAGTACCATGTCCAGAAGCAGGTTTAGGTATTACTTCCAACTTTCTAAAAATGAAAGGGAACAAGAGAGTACTGTGATATAGCGATGTCCCTGAGAGGTGAGTTGCTCTGTCTCATGGACAGCTACCTGGTAAGCTAGGCTGCTGGCATTTATGCTTCTAGTATTTCCTACCTTTCCAGACAACCTTCATTATAACACTTAAAGCCAAGGCCAGGTGTGGTGGCACATGCTTGGAAGGCAGTGGCAAGCAGTTTTCTGTTGAGTTCGAGGCTAGCTTGGTCTACAGAGCAAGTTCCAGGACAGGCTCCAAAGCTACCCAGAGAAACCCTATCTTGAAAAACCAAACCAAAACAAACCAAAACAAAACAAAGCAAAACTCAAAAACCGATGAAGCAACAAAACATTTAAAACATGAAAACGAGTTAAAAGCACAATACTTGGGCTGGAGAGATGGCTCAGTGGTTAAGAGCACTGGCTGCTCTTCCAGAGGTCCTGAGTTCAATTCCCAGCAACCACATGGTGGCTCACAACCATCTGTAATGAGATCTGGCGCCCTCTTCTGGCATGCGGGCATACATGGAGGCAGAATGTTGTATACATAATAAATAAAACCTTTAAAAAAAAAAAAGCACAATACTTATCTGCCTTTATTGTTTGCTTTCTGGAATAGGACCTAGTCATGTAACCCAGGCGGGCTTGGAACTTGCTGCCATCCACAAAGTGGTGGCAGTCTTGGCCTCCTCCTCGTCTGTATTTTTAGAGGGTCTCATGCCCAGGCTAGTCTCCAATTTGGCATCTTTCTGCCTAGCCTCCAGTTCTGGGATTAAAGGCTTAAAGCACCGTGCCTTCCTTCCATTTGTAGATACTTTCCTCCCCCGGGGCAGTAATGAATGAACTGTTACGTGCACCTCCTTTCCTCCTCCCACTCCACTTTTTCCTAGCGCTGGGATAGAATCCTGGGGGGCACTGCATGCTAGGCAATCACTTTAACATCGAGCTACATCCCGTGCCCTGAGGCATCTTTCAAAAGTTTATTTATCCTCTCTGATTAAGAAAGGACCTCCAGGAAAACTTCCCAATGCCTTATTTCATGGATGGAGAAATTAAGCCCCAGAGAGCTAGTCCAGGCTTTTCAAAGTGCCAGCTGAGGCTCGAGCCAGTATCTCACCCCTCATAGGAACTGACGCAGCATCTCCAAACCAGAACCAATGCTGCGCATACCCCAAGTTACACACAGAATGATACAGAACACTCGCCATGGGCCAGGCCTAGGTATTGTATGTCATGCCAGAAAAATGGCAACAAAAAGCAGCGTTTTCCAATGTAGATTGCTGAGTTCAAATATTAGCCTCACTGCTCGCTGGCAAAACAATCTTCAAGTATTTTGTATAATAAGTTTAAGGCAAGGTGCATTCACGAGGACCTATTGATCCCTTGCACAACAAAAATACATTATAAATTTTTTTTAAAAAAAGCCAAACCTGTGTGGTGTGTGTGCGAGCGCATGGCCTGCGGGCGGGCACGCGAGTGTGTACACGCACACATACATGACCAGGTGCCTGGGTGTCTCACCAGGCTCCACCTCCCTTGAGGATGCACGGGCAGTGAACAGCTGCTGGAGGGCGGGGCTCACGAGGCTCCACCTCTCCTTGAGGATCCACAGGCGGCTCTAGTGTCCGGAGGAGGGAGAGACTTTTGTTTTTCAGTGGTGTAGGCCCTGCTAAGGTGCCCACGCTCTTGTAAATAACCCCTCACTTACATCCCTGTAATCAACTGGAATGAAACACATAGAGAACAGACAAACAAGGGCAAGAAAGCAGAAGAGGGACTAGTTGGGAAAGGAAAGGGGCGATGTGGATGGGGGAGATAAGAGCTGGTAAGGTGGAAGGGCATATGATCAAACTACTTTATGTGCATTTATGAAAATATAATGAAACACTATTATGTAGAATATACAATACTAAAAAGTTTTATGAAATTAGTGACTTTCACTGGTGATAGTACCTGTATTCTAGCAGCCGAGGAGGCTGAGGCAGGAGCATTGCTTGAGTTCTTGTGTTTGAGACCAAACAGGTGAAGAAGTGGGGACATACTTTCAAATAGAATATTATTTTATATAAGACCCACAGGACCCATACATAAGCTTAAAATATAAAACATTAAAAATAAATTTAAGTTTAACATGACAGCTCATAAACATAGTATTTGTGAGGTGGATGCAGGAGAAATCAGGGGTTCAAGGCAGCTGCAGCTACATAGGAATTTTAGCTAGTCTGGAATATATGAGACCCTGCTTCAAAACACAAAACAAAACAACAACAACAAAAAAAAAAACAGAAAGAAAACAAATGCAGGTGTTTGTGCATGTATGTGTGTGTATCTATGTGTGTGTGTTGTAGCTCAGTGGTGTCTAACATTCACAAGGTCCTGGATTCATCCCAGTACTGAAATAAACTAACAAACCACAAACACTTCTACTATTCTCCCCCTCCATTCTCTTCAAATTTGGACACTGCTATTTATTTATGTATCGGTTTAGTTTCAAATGTCCACACGCCTAAAAAGCACAGGTTCCCCAGCACACACGCAATTGTGCGTGGGTGTCATCAGTGTTCCTCCTCCTCCTGTTTCCCGTTTGTTCTGGAGAGCCATCTGGTTTACCCCACACAGCTCTAGAGACTATGCTGCTGCAGTTTGCTTTTCCCGAGCACGACTCTGGGTTTTTCTGTATTTTGCTTCTGCAGTGCTGCTTTTACGTTTCTCGTCTATTTTGTCTTCAACACAAGGTTTAATTTAGGAGCAACTATGCCTGAACTGTGGGGTTTAATGTCACTGTATGCTTCCAAACTGTTCTTCAGTGGGCTTTGACATAGGCTGCTGGTGGCAATGTCCCCATAGGTACAGCTGTAGCTCTGATAGAAACTGTTTTAACTTGGATTTTAACTGGACACTCTTGACACAACACCCTCCTTCTGCTAATTAGTATTTCCATATCTCATTTTTCCTACTGGGTTGTGTACCCAAATCATGACATGGAGACAGACTTCACATTTATATGAATGTTTGTCCTAGCTTAGGCTAGCTCTTTTTAACTTAAATTAACCCGTTTCTCTTTATCGACCTTTCGTCTCAGGGCTTTTCGTTTTTCTGCATATCTTACTTTCACTGCTTCCTGTGTCTGTCTGTCTGTCTGGAGACTGCATGACTTCTTGCCCCTCCCTTTCTTCCTCATTCTCTTCTCCTCCTCCTCCTTCCTCTCATTCTTCTTTCTCTCCCAAGACTAGATTTCTCCACCTATTTATTTTCCAACCTGCCAATCCTGTGCATCTTTTCTCATGTCTAGCCATTGGTTGTTCAGCTTTTCATTAGACCAATTGGGCACTTTAGGCAGGCAAGGTGAAACAGATACAGCACATCTTTCCATAATCAAACACACAACCTACATCGCTACACAAATGCAGCACAAACACATGCAACACACCTTCACACAGCTAAAGTAGTATCCTGCAGCATAAACACATGCAACACACCTTCACACAGCTAAAGTAGTATCCTGCAGCATAAACACATGCAACACACCTTCACACAGCTAAAGTAGTATCCTGCAGCATAAACACATGCAACACACCTTCACACAGCTAAAGTAGTATCCTGCAGCATAAACACATGCAACACACCTTCACACAGCTAAAGTAGTATCCTGCAGCATAAACACATGCAACACACCTTCACACAGCTAAAGTAGTATCCTGCAGCATAAACACATGCAACACACCTTCACACAGCTAAAGTAGTATCCTGCAGCATAAACACATGCAACACACCTTCACACAGCTAAAGTAGTATCCTGCAGCATAAACACATGCAACACACCTTCACACAGCTAAAGTAGTATCCTGCAGCATAAACAAATGCAACACTTTTCATAGCTACAGTATTGAGCAACAGGGTTGTGATTTGATAGCTACGCTTTAGAATGCATGCACATTCCTATTGGATAATGACTCTTCTGTCACTGATGGAATTTGCCATATCTTTCCCCAGACCCTGGGCTAACTTTGCTTCCTTGTATCACTTGTTTTTAACAGTCTCCTAAAAATGCACAGCTTTTTAAAACAATTTATTCTCTCATACATTACATTCTGACCCTAGTTTCCCCTCCTTCCTCTCCTCCCCCTCCCCCACCCATTCCTCCATTTTTCTTCAGAATGGGGCAAGCCTCCTCGAGACATCAACCAAACATGGCCTATCAATTTCCAGTAAGATGGGCTGAAGGGATGGCTCAGCGGTTAAGAGCACTGGCTGCTACTCCAAAGGTCCTGAGTTCAATTCCCAGCAAACACGTGGTGGCTCACAGCTATCAAAAATGAGATCTGGTGCCCTCTTCCGGACTGCAGGCATATAGAATGCTGTATATATTTTTTAAAAAATTCCTAAAAATTCCAGGAAGACTAGGCACCACCTCTTTTGCTAAGGCTGGATGAGGTGACCCTCATGGTAGAGAAAGGATCCCAAAAGAAGGCAAAAGAGTCAGATATAGGCCCTACTCCCACTGTTGGGAGTTCCACAAGACCAAGGAATACAACCATAACAATTACTGCAGAGGGCCTATGTCAGAACCATGCAGGCTTGCTCTCACAGCAGGGGTTCTCTGTAGCCCTGGGTGTCCTGGAACTCTCTGTAGACCAGGCTGGCCTCGAACTCACAGAGACCCATCCGCCTCTGCCTTCTGAGTGCTGGGATTAAAGGTGTGTGCCACCACCTTGCATAGCTTTTTTTTTTTTTCTGAAAACAGTCAAAGGTATTATTTTCTTTTTGGCTTATAAGCCAAAAAGGTAGGGAAGCAATTCCTTCCTTACCCCAAATTTAAAACAACAATCTAATATTTTCTTTTAAACTTGTTCACATTCTGCTAGACAAATTCTGTTCTTTTATCTGGAATTGCTCTGCACATACGAGGTGAGAGAGACTTGAATGTATATTTTTCCTAGTGGGAACTAGCTACCCAATACACGATTCAAAAGTATTTTCTCTTCCCTTCATTTATGCCTCTGTTGGCATGGCAACACTGTTTTCTAAGTTCAGACCAATAACATCTCTTCACTTTGGCTATTCTTGGTTATTGACTCTTTTATTTTTTTTTTTGACTCTTTTATATAAATATTTGACATTCGCATGTTTCATAAAAAGACCCTTTCAGGATTGTGTTAGGAACTGCCCTGGATTTTTAATGAGCCCTGAGTCTTCCTAAGGGAGGCTCAAGGCACTGGCATGCTGGGCTGGAAAATAACTAGCAGGTTGTGAAACGGTGAGGGGAACAGGATTTGGGCTAAAGGAGTTGATTAAAAGTGAGGATAAGGGTTGGTACAAAAATGCTGGGGTGGTTGTTTTCTTTTTATAGATTGCCCTATCCTTGATGATAAAATGCTGGGGTGGTTGTTTTCTTTTTATAGATTGCCCTATCCTTGATGATAAAATGATTCTTTTCCTTTTTGAATGGGAAAGGGGCTTTTCACATGGGAAGCAAGCAGGTAGGCAGGCAGGAAGCTAGGTGGACAGTGGAAATGCAGGAGGGAGGGGCGAGGGGCGGGGCAGACAGGCGGGCGGGCGGGCGGGCGGGGCGAGGAGGGGGCGGGCGGGCAGGCAGTCACTAATCCTGTACCTGCCCTGATTTCAAGTCAGTGTGCCAGAGCAGCCTATTCCAGAACGGCATATTCTTAATTCTTTAGCCACAAGAGAATTCTGTCTAAAAGTTGCTGCTTCTGAAAATTAAACAGATTTGAAAAGCGGCGGCAGAGCTTTTTTGTGAGTGGCACACGCTCAATCCCGGAATTTAGAAGGTAGAAGAAGGAAATTCAAGGGCAGTTCTGGCTGAGTGAGTGTTAGGATAGCCTGGGCTACAGAAGACTGTTTGGAAAAGAAGACTCAAATATTTAAAATATTTTTAAATCAGGAGGAGGCCAATGAATGTAATAAAAAAGCTATAGGAAAACATTCCAGGGGCTCAAATATGGAAAGGGAGAGACTCACATCAGCCCACAACATAAAATACAAATCATAAGCTGCACACATGGTAGCAGTTCATGAAAACTGTTTCGTCAAAAGCATCACTATTCCTTTTATTAAGACAGCACCAACTCCAACTTTACTGATATTTGTAGTTTCATTATTTTAGAGAAATAATAAGTTCCAGGGGCTTAAACTACATCAGTGGTTGAATTTGTTTACATCTTAGAACATAATAATAAAAACAATAACGTCAACACTTGTGGGGTGTCCTTGATTTTCTCTGAAAACACATCGTTTCCCATAATACCCTCACTAGCTAACTGCCATAGGGAATTGCTTAGAGCTGCTTCAGGGCGCTCTGGGATCCCATCTTGATGGCTCCTTAGCTGGCTTTCATCCCCCAGGCTCCTGTAGGCCTGGTAAAACGGACAGTTTTGGAGTTGGTTTCTACCTACATTCCCTTTTAGGGAGTCGCTGTGCTCAGTGGCTTTCAGAAGTTCTAAATGGTGGGCTTCAGCCCTCAAAAGTTTCCAAAGCCTGAATCATGATCCCTCGCCTCCTCTCCACCCTGCCTGGGGCCTCTAGAACTCCACCAGCCTTGCCTGCTGGTCCAAACTAGTCTTCCAGACTGAGTCTGGGGTTCTGGGTGTTTAGGAACAGGCCTCAGGAACCGGCGTTTTAATCACTATTGAAGTCTGCATTCAGAAACGCCCCTGGCTAGGGTTTCCCTGGACGTCTCACCGCTCCCGGGTCCAGGGTCCAGTCCGGTCTGTAACTGGTTTGGTCAGTGTCCTTGTGCCAGTCTCCGGCAAGGCCAGCGGACGGTTGCCAGGCGACCTGATTCTCCGAAACGCCCCTCTTGCAGAGGAAGTCTCGCGACGTCCGGAAGCGTGCAGCGCCTGCCCGGTGGCCAGCACAGGTCTGGCTCTTTGTGACACGGGACAGAAGAGCTGATATTATTGTGCACCAGTGATCCCAAGACAAGGCCAGTTAGTTTGAACGGAACAAGATTGCATCTCCATCATCTCTGATTATTTCAGTGCCCAGTAACCACACCTGCCCCAGAACAAACCCAAAAAAGAAATTGCCTGAAGCCAGTACTCCACCTTTCTAGGATAAAACCTAAATTTAGGGTAATACTCAAGGTCATTTATCGTGACTCTCCTCACGGCTTGCGCTTGCGGTCCTCAGGTCAGGATTCTCGGGTACGCTTTGTTTGTGAGTTCGAGCCCAGCCTGAGTCTACGGAGCTAGCTCCAGAACATCCAGAGATACACAAAGAAACCTGTCTCAGGCCAGGTGGTGGTGGCGTGGTGGCGCTCGCCTTTAACTCCAACACTCCGGAGCCAGAGGCTGGCGGTCTCTGGAAGTTCAAAAATAAACAAACAAACAAACAACAAAAACAAAAACAAACAAATTCCCTTGGGTTGGCTTGTAGTGTATGCCTTTAATCCTAGCACTTGAGAGGCAGAGGCAAATGTATCTCTGAATTCCAGGCCAGCTTGGTGTACGTGGAGAGTTCCTCCTAGCTAGACATGGCTACATAGAGACCTTGTCTCGGCAAAATAAAACAATCCATTTTCCAGCCTTTGGGGTGGAACTCGCACATGTTTTCTTCCCTCTTACACTCCTGTTCCCCCTTATCTCAGTTTAGATCCTTACATCCTTTCAGAAAACCTCAATACTGCATCTTGTTAGTTTCTACTTCCTCCAACAACTAGGAAGAAGTTCTTTAGTGGAACAAGAATCTGCCTGTGTTACGCATGTCTCAAAAAAAAAAAAAAAGATAAACTGAGGACAAGAATTCTTTTACCTCACCATTGTCAATGGGTACGAACATGCTGTGTATACTAGTGCCCACTTGATAGATAAATGTTTGTAAAATGAATAACATAAATGAAAGATATTTGGGCAGTGGTGGCACACACCTTTAATCCCAGCACTCAGGAGACAGAGGCAGGTAGATCTCTGTGAGTTCGGAGCCAGCCTGGTCTACAGAGCAAGTTCCAGGACAGCTAAGGCTGTTACACCAAGAACCTTGTCTCGAAGAACCATAAAAAGGAAGACTACATAGGATCCATCATTCACAGTGGAAAGGATTCACTGACAGTGGGGTGGGCTAAGAAGACTGGGTATAAAGAACAGTGCACACTGGGAGGCGGCCAGTGCCAACTGTGGACCTGGCTGGAGGGAAGGAAGGTTGTCAGGGCCGCTTGTTTAGGCAGTCTTGGCCCAGTTCAGTTGGAGATACGTGGAAATGCATGGACTTGGGAGACATCTTTAAACAATATGTTTGTGTTCACTTATTTTATAGATAAGTTTGTATGCACGTGGAGGCCCAGAGGGCAACTGGAGAACGTTGGCTCTTTCTTTCTGCCCCGTGGGCTAGGGGGATCAAACTCAGGCCGAAAGGCTCGGTGGCAAGCACCTGTACCCACTGGGGCATTTAGGGAAAGGCACGGGACAGAAGCTGAAGATAATCTCCAAATGTTGGGAGAAAGAGATGACAAGGGCTGTGAGGGGACTGGGCATGTTTGGTTCGTACCCTCAGGCTGAGGTGAGATATGCTTTAATAAAATACCACCACCAGTGGTGGTGAGGGTAGAGGAAACAGAAATAGAAAAGAAGAGCCGGTACAGATGCGTCAGCAGTAAACAGAAAGGGAGTAAAGATTCAGTCTCCAAAGCCTAATATTCAGTCACACTGGGGGGAAAAGGCTAAGGAAGGACAGAGGGAAAAGGATAACTAAAACACCAGGTCACACATTAGATGCCCATCTTATGTGGTTATGGGTCATTCCGTTGGGGACAACAGCCTTAACAGGGGATACGGGCTGAGTCATGCTCTTTATGCAGCATGGAGACCACCGGTAACCCTGAGAGAGGCATTGCTTAGCTATTGAGTTTAGTAAGTCATAAGACTCGCTTGTTCTGCAAGTCTTAGTTTTAGAAAATTTTCATAAATCATCAAAAGGAATATGCTTTCATTTGTGGTGAAGCTATGTGCACTTTTACTTAGGTTTTATTTTTGAGATCATTTCTCACTATGCAGCCCAGATGGTTCTCAAACCTCACAGGCTCACAGGGTCCTCCTCTGAGTCCTGGGTAGTTGGGACTGTTCAGGCCACCATACCTGGCTACACACACCTGTAAATGTGCAATATGATATGTAGATATAGACATGGACTTACTTAATAGTGGCCACTTTTTGGTGGCAAGATTATGACGAGGGTTTTCTTCCATTTTTAGTAGCCAGGCTTATGAAAAAATGATAAAATTATATTTTGAAACTTCATTTTGGATCCTCTTCATGAGGTTGAAAATCACTTTGTGATTATTTATGCTCAAGCTTAAAATGATTGAATTACTAATTAATATGAGTGTGGGGGGTGTTTGAGTATGTATGTGTTCATGTGGGTATGGATGCGTGTACATACATGTGGGTGCACATGCATATGTGTGTGTGAGTGTAGACAGCAGAGATCAACACTCGGTGTCTTCTATTGTTTTAACTCCTTAAAAAACTATTTAACATGTGTGTGTCTGTATGCGCATGTGTGTGCATGTATGTGTGCATGTGAGTGCATGCATATGTGTGTACATGTGTGTGCATGTGTGCACGCGCATATGTGTGCGTGTGTGTATGTGTGTGCATGCACATGTGTGTGCGTGCACGTGTGCGTGTGTATGTGTGTGCATGCACACGTGTGTGCGTGCACGTGTGCGTGTGTGTGTGCATGTGAGTGCATGCATATGTGTGTACATGTGTGTGCATGTGTGCACGCGCATATGTGTGCGTGTGTGTATGTGTGTGCATGCACATGTGTGTGCGTGCACGTGTGCGTGTGCGTGTGTGTGTGTGTGTGTGTGTGGACCTGAAGAAGCCAGAGGGGGCATCCGATTCCTTTGACCAGCAGTTACAAGCAGTTGTGAACAGCTGTCTGTAGGGATTGGTGCTCAGATCTCTGGAAGAGCAGGAAGTGCTCTAAACTGCTGAGCCATCTCTGCAGCCCTCTGCATCATCTTACTATTATGATTATGGTTGTTGCTATTATTTTTATTGAAACGGGGTTTCTATGTGTAGTTTTGGCTGTCTTGAAACTAGTTCTGTAGACCAGGCTGGCCTCAAACTCAGAGAGATCCGCCTGCCTCTGCCTCCCGAGTGCTGGGATTGAAGTTGTGCACCACCACTGCCTGACTACATCTTATTTTCACAGTTCCTCCTAGTGAATCTGGAGCTTGTCCACTGGGTTAGGCTGGGGAGTCAATAAACAAGGACCCGTTGTCTCTGAGATTAGAGACATGCACTACAGCACCCAGCTTTTTCCATGGGTGCTGGGATCTGAACCCAGGGCACTTTCCCAACCTGGTCACCTCTCCAAACCCACTAATTATTTTTTTTAATGCAATTAGTTAGCTTAAGAGAACATATTCTCTTGTTAAGATGTGAACTCTAACTCCTGCCCAGGGGCATGGTGTGAACCAGTCGTCTGTGTATTTTTCAGTGAGGCAGAAATTTGGCAGGCAATGAGAAATTCTTCTCTTCCGTATCACATGTGAGTCAAGCACAAAATACTGTAAGCTTTACACTTGACAGATGCTGGGGAAATTACACTTGCTAAAAGAAGTAAGTCTCAAGAATCACCATGGAAGCATGGTGCTAAAATCACACTTTTAAACATTGCCTCAGCTGGAGTTTCCGAGGCCCTCTCGCCAGAAGCAGACTTTATCTCCCGCATGCTGTTCTGTCTTTGTCCATCAACGTTTCCTGAGTTCATACCGCACAGAACTGTGGGAAGCACTAAGCTGATGTTGGTGATTAAGTCTCCTTCACTGAGAAACGGAGAAATTAAAAGGCCCTTCACAGAAAGGTCCGTTGTTAGCACATAACCCCACATACAAAGATGCGTGTTTTTCAGGCTGTCACTTCCTTCTCTGTTTGTTTTGTAAGATGGAGGAATATTAGTGATCTGCAGGCAGGCATCTGACGATAGCCCGAATGGTCACACTTCTTGGTATCCAAGCCCCTGAGTGATCCCCACAGTGGCGTGGGCACCGGACCTAGCGACTTGGTCTAGCCAACAGTAAAGGAAACATATGCATGTCATTTCCATAATCAGGACACAAAAGATGGTGGCTAATGTTTTGCTGACTGAATCCCCACAGCATGTGTGAGTTTCCCTCTTTGATAAAGCTGGCTATAGTTTAGGGAAGCCACTCCAACCTGTATTTAGTGAAAACTTGAGACTTTTGGCCTAAGGAGAAAGAGCCAATAAAACCCCTGTTGGAGCTACAGAGCTAATCCTTTCCCAGTTGAACCTCACCTCTGGCAAACTCTTGATTATAATCTCATGAGAGAGCCTGAAGTCAGGGACCGAGATTTCTAGTTCATGAAATCTTTACAATGAAAAGTGTGTTGGGTTTTGGGGTGATATGGAAATAATGGAAAATTCTTTTTGGGAGAGAGAGTGTTATCAAGGAGTTGGGTCTTGACTTCCCTGTTAAAGGACTGTGTTTAGAAAGGCCACTGACTACAGGAGGGGGAAGCTTACTTGGAACAAAAGATTTCACATAGAAGCTGGAAGCTACAAAGTTCCCTCTGGTTATGGAGGATACAGTTTCTTTCTCTATTTTTAAAGATGTATTTATTAATTGTGTATACAGTGTTTTGCCTGCATGTATGCTGCAGGCCAGAAGAGGGCACCAGATCTCACTGCAGATGGTTGTGAGCCTCCATGTGGTTGCTGGGAATTGAACTCAGAACCTCTTCTGGAAGAGCAGTCAGTGCTCTTAACCTCTGAGCCATCTCTCCAGGCCAAAGGATACAGTTTCTATTTTTGATTTCTGTAA